AAATATGGGACATTATCCTCTTCCCCAGCCAGCATTACCTGTCGTCTGCTGGGAGCTCAGCGAGGCTGACGGCCTCACCTGTACTTCCTGCACTTGTGGGTGCTTGTGAAAGAAGTCCTCAAGCTCTGCAGGGTAGATGTTCTCCCCGCCCCGAATGATCATGTCCTTGGAGCGGCCCACAATCTTACAGAAGCCCTGCTCGTCCATCACAGCAATGTCCCTGGAAGGAAAACCCAGGCATTTTCTCACCTCTGCCTTATCCCTTGCACATTCATTCCCCAAACATGCATTGAGTCCCTATAACATGTCTTACACTACTGCATTAGACTCCGGGAAGCACAGTAGAAAACAAACTCCTTACAACTTACAGTTTAGGTATGAAGGCAAAGAAAAATAAAGCAGTACAGTACTTGTCCCCTTCCTCATTCTCTCCTGTCTCTTTCTCTCGTTCTTTTTCTCTATTTCCCTATCAATTCATAGGCTTTTCATGGCTTAATGTGTGTGTGTGTGTGTGTGTGTGTGTGTGTGTGTCCTGGGGTTAGAACTCAGGCTCTGGGCACTGTCCTTTAGGGGCTTGACCATTTGAGTCACAGTTCCACTTATGGCTCTTTGGTGGTTAACTGGAGGTAAGAGTCTCACAGACTTTCCTGCCTGGGCTGGCTTTGAACCAGGATCTTCAGATCTCAATCTCCTGAGCTTACAGGTGTGAGCCATCAATGCCTGGCTTGCTTGCTTCTTTTTCAAACCTGAGCTCAAATGTTTTCAGTGGCTTCTCTGACTACCCAGTTTAAGAAAAGCTCTCATTCCCCACCACAGCCACTTTCTCTCCTGTAACCTGTAAATTTTTTTTGATGTCTATAATTATCTGTCTACCTCTACCAGACATGTGGAAAGTAAAAGCAGGGTCCACTGGGCCACCAGGTGGAGCAGGGTGCTGGTACTCAGGAAGTGTACAATAGGAAAGTGCTAAACTCACAAATGAGTGACTAAGAATCAGGTACCCAGTGGCTCACACCTGTAATCCTAACTCCTGGGGAGGCTGAAACCTGAGGATCACTGTTGGAAGCCAGCACAAGTAGGAAAGTCCATGAGACACTTATCTCTAACCAGCAAAGAGCTGGAAGAGGAGGTATGGCTCCAGTGGTAGAGTACCAGCCTTGAGTGAAAAGTTAAGGGACAGTGCCAGGCCCCTCGTTCAAGCCCCAGTCTGGCACACACACACGCGCACGCACGCACACACACACACACACACACACACACACACACACACACAGTGACCAAATCCTGGATCATATTTTGAGGGTGCAGGTGTAGTCCATTCTTTTAGTGTCTTGACAATATGGCAAGTGGATATACCCTTATCATACACATTTTAGAAATTAAGTTTTCGGGGTTCGAAGAGTCCTGGATATTCAGGTTAATTTAATGTTCCCAGCTCAGCCATAGCCTCCCATCAGCAGCCAAAGCAAGTACCCCATCCCTTCTTCTCACCCTGTGTGATACCACTTGTCCTGCCCAACTGCTTCAAAGGTCTTCTGAGGCTCGTTCCAGTACCCTAGCATGATGCAGTACCCCCGGATGAACAGCTCCCCCGGCGTGTTCAACTTCACCAGCTCCCCAGTCTCCATGTTCAAGATCTGGGCCTAGGAAAGGTCAGCGTCAGGCCAGGGTCTCCTGTTTCAGGATGGGCAGGCCTTCATTATTAGACCCTCCCCCTAAATGAAGCTTCTTGGCTCTGTCCATCCAGGTCCAGGAAGGGGGAGCAGGGCCAGAGTAGATCAACCCCAGTCAGAGACCTGAGCTAGACATGAAAGAATATTTGAAGCTCTGGCAGGATGCTGTGGACAGGGGTGGGCAGGATGGCTGAGGAGCAGCCCAGGGAGGGCCAGGCCAGCTGCCAGTTACAAACCACTCAGTAGGAAAGGCAGTCTCTTCTCACTTCCCATGAGATGGCAAATAAAGAAGCTAAACATGGTGGCGTGGCGATGCCATGTGAACAGGGGAAATAGCCTAGTAGAGAGAGGAGCCCTAGCCAACAGGCAAAGGAAGCAGTCTCTGTGTGCCTTGATGTCTGCAGCTGGAATATAGAGACCATTATGTTTGCTTCATCTATCTTCCAGGCCACTTCCCAAAGATGGTGGTAAGGGGGTGTTAGATCCATGAGCTGAGCGGGGGCGTCTGTCCCCACAACAACCATCCTCTCCCTAAAAGGCTGCTGGAGCAGAGGGGGCGAGGGTAGCAGTCAGCCCAGGGAAGCATCTGCATGGGCAGCCAGACAAGAACCCCACAGGGACAAGGAAACTGGCTGCCATTGGAGTCCCACTATTGGAACGCCAAAGGAGTCTCAGCTGGGAATTTGAGATTTAAGAACTGCTCTGGGGTGATCTTGGAGGGCCCCCCCCCCGCCCCAGCCCCTGCCACACACACACACACATACACGAGGCCCAGGCTGCTTAGGAAATGAAGGGTTTGTGCCCAATCAAAAGAGGAACTCTTCCAAAGTGAGAGGTTGTGGGCCCACAGGGAAGAGAGAGCTGAGTAGGAAAAATCTCTGTGCTCTGGCTTCCCTTTGAGTCTATCCTGGCTGCCCCAAAACAGACAGTGGAGCTTGGCAAAAACACACCTCAGACAGGAAGGGAGGCTGTGGAGAGGTTCAGCTGGCAGTTGCTCAGGGCCGCTATCCCAGCTCTCCCCTATTCATGCCAGACCCAGGGAGCCCACACTGCCCCAGGCCCTCAGCTTCTACAGTTAAGTTGTCTGGATCTCAGAGACAAAGCAACAAATGTCCCTGAGTGGTGGGAGGTGGGCTTTGGGGGGAAGGGCGGGTCTTAGTGAAGGGGGACTCACCTCTGTGTGGGGCATAACTCTGCCCACGCTTTCTGCCTTCTGTTCTACAGTGTCATCTGGAAAGTTCATGAAGGTCACAGGACTGTTCTCTGTGGTTCCATAAGCAATCTAGAGGGTCCCAGAAGAGAGTTTGGGGGGAGCTCAGTGATGGCAGAGGGTCAGAGTGAACTACTCAGCACAGTGGAAGTTTAGTAACTGAGGCAGCATTGGTAGGAAAACAGAGGCGCTTGATCTCTGCAGCGGCCCCAGATCTAAAATAAAACTGACAGCCAGGAAGCCGTTCTTCCCTGGCCAGGGCTCTCTCTGTCCCTTGTGCCCCTAGAGCAGTCACATGTCTATACCTGTGGCTCATAGAAGCCACTGGACATCTTTCCCTATCCTCAGACTGCCTGAGTTCCCCACCTTCCTGATTTCAGGCCACAACATCCTCCATCCCTTCCCTTCCAAGCCAAAGACCCATAAACTTAATGAGAAAGACAGCCTGCTTTGGTCTCCGACAGGAGCAATACATACACATACAAACACCCTCAATCCAAGACAAGTGCCTGGCTGGCCTTGGGGTGGGTGCCCTCCCCCAAGCTCTGGAGTTTCCTGTAACTTTATTCTCATCAAAATAAAAATATAGCCAGAACAGGGATTTTAAATGCTTGTGACTCCCTCCCACCGCACCGCACTGCAGTGGTTAGAACATCCTGAGCAACAGACAAACCAGAAGCCAGGCTAAATACCATCAGAGAAAGTTCTAGGCCAAGAACTGCCCTCCCCCTAATCTAGAGGAAACGGGTAAAAGGGGCTTGGAGGAAGAGCAGGCCCTGGAGTCCCCCACAACTGTGAGTGGGTACTGTGTGAAGTGGAGGAGGGCCCAGCTAGCATATTCTACAGAACTTGGTCTTTGCCCTCTCTGTATCAGCTGGTGTGGCTCTGGCACAGCTGGGGTCTGGGCTCTTCTCCCTCTCCCCAAACAGACAATACTGACTGTCAGGCAGCCTGGAGCTCATTCTGGCCAGAGCTGTGACCTGCCGGCTGGCCCTCCCCTGTCCACAGGACCCCAGACACCATGGCTCAAAACTGGGCACATGAAGATCTAGCGGGCTGGGGTGAGTCTGACCACAACCGACCGTCTTGCAGCAGCCTGAGCTGTGGCCAAGGCCGATGCCCTGTGACCAGGAAACAGCCCCCTCCCTGGTCCTCAGTCTCCGGGGCCACTGCCCAGATGTGGCCTCTGCCAAACAGACCTTGGCGCCACTGGGCTGCCACCCTGAGACCCCCCCCCCATAGGCGGGTCCTGACTGCGGTGGGGGGGAAGGGGAAGGGGATGTTTGGGGGGGAGGTTAAGTAAGAAGGGGGTGGTGTAACTGCGCTTGTCCAGGGGTCTCCTTCTCTCGCTCACCCCTCACTAATTCCCACTCTTCTGCGTAGCTTTCAGCCCTAGATAAATAAAAGGGGGAACGAGAATCTCAAGCCTAAGGTTAGGTAGGAGAAGGGGCTAGGCAGGAGTCCAAGGGTGGGGTAAGAGGCCAGCCCCTCCTTGTGGGGGTGTCTAGCCAGAAGGGGGAGCCCGAGACGCCGGAGCAACAGCGGCTCGCACGCTCGGCCGGCGCCGCACAAGGGCCCCATTAAAGCGCTGGTGGGGCCGCAGGGAGCCGCACGCAGCCGCGCCCGCCCCGCCCGCCCTCCCCAGGCCCAGGGTGAATGGGGGCTGGGGCGGGGAGGGGGCGAGGACGGGGACTTGGAGACACGGAGACCCAAACCTGAGCAAACAAATAAGTCCAGAGCCCGCCTCCTTCTCCTCGGTCCTGTGTACAGACACCCATGACGGCCCCCTCCCCATTCCAAGAATTAAAATGGCCTTGTGGCTTTATTGAATCAGCATCGCGTCTGGGGGGGTGGGGTGGAGAGCAGGAGATGAGGGGCTAGGGTTCAGGGGTGCGCCCCTGATGGCCCGCCATGGGGAGGGGGGGCGGGCCTCCGGACACGCAGGGGTTAAGTCCACGTAGCCTGGCGCCCGGCCTGCGGTGGGTCGGGACCCGCCTATAAATAAGGCGGAGACCCGCGCGCTCAGAACTTGCCGTTGCCCGCGCCCCGGCTGCCGCTGCTCCCCCCACCCCACCCCAGCCTCGGCTCCAGGCGGCCCCCACCCCCCAGCCTTGGCCATGGCCCACGCGAGACTGTTTCTCAGTCTCGGCCTCCTCGCCGGCCTCCTGCCGATGTTAGCCGCTTGTCCCCCCAAGTGTCACTGCCACGGGGACCTGCAGCATGTCATCTGCGACAAGGTGGGGCTGGAGAAGATCCCCAAGATGTCCGAGAAGACCAAGCTGCTCAATCTCCAGCGCAACCACTTCCCCGTGTTGGCTATGAACTCCTTTAAGGACATGCCCAACCTCGTGTCGCTCCACCTGCAACACTGCCGCATCCGCGAGGTGGTCAGGGGCGCCTTCCACGGCCTCCACCAGCTCATCTACTTATACCTGTCCAACAACGACATCCGGGTGCTGCAGCCGGGCGCCTTCGAGGACCTGACCGAGCTCACCTACCTCTACCTGGACCACAACAAGGTGACTGAGCTGCGCCCTGCGCTCTTCTCCACTCTGCCCAACCTCTTCATCCTACAGCTCAACAATAACAAGATTCGAGAGCTGCAGCCCGGCACTTTCCAGGGTGCGAAGGATCTGCGCTGGCTCTACCTGACTGGTAATTCCATCAGTTCTCTGCACGCCAATGCCTTGGATGATGTGGAGAACCTAGTCAAGTTGCACCTGGATAGGAACCAGCTCTCCAGCTACCCCTTAGCCGCCCTGAGCAAGCTGAGGGTGTTGGAGGAACTCAAGCTATCCCACAACCGTCTGAAGAACATTCCTGCCAAAGCCTTCCAGTCCTTTGGCAAATACCTGGATATCCTCTGGCTGGACCACGCCCACCTGGAAAAAGTGAGTGCTCAGGTTGCAGAACTTGGCCCTGACTCCTTCTTGTCTCCCTCAGAGGCTTGAGAGCCAGGACCATAGTTGGTACCATCTCTTCTTGGCAGACTTTCTGTCCATAGGACTATCTTCAACTTCTCTCCCTAGTCTTGTCACATCTCCACCCTAATCTCTGTCCAGAGCTTGTCTCAGCCACTGCTCTATTTAGAAGAGAAGTGGGGCTCCCCTGGGCCTAAAGATGTCTTCTTAGGCAGCATCTCCAACACTCCCAAATCCCCACTCAGAGGCATTACCACCTCTGCCTGTTGGGCCTCCTCTGCTGTTTTTCCCAGTCTCCAGTAAGCCTACCATCCCATAAAGGGAGGTTTGTCTGTTGAGGAGCCTTCCAGAGAAGCTGGGAAAATCAGGCCCACAAAGAGACCCTGTTCCTGCTGGGGGCTGGCATGTGTGCTAAGGTAGAAAGGGAGGTGGGGGTTGTGGAGTGAGTGTGATATAAAATGTCTAAGGAAGATCTCTACATCCCATGGAGGCCCTGATGGATGCTGGGTCCTGTCCCCCAAGTGGTTCCTCCCCGCCCCATATAGGCACAGTTCATTTCATTCTCAGGTCCATTTCAATTAGTAGAGAAGGCCTGGGTCCCTACAGCTCTCCAGGCTGCAGACATGGTGCCTGAGGAGCCTCCAAACAGAGCTGTCCTTGGCCCATCCCATTGTCCTTCTTCCCTGGATGGCCACTCTAGCCAAGTGGGTAAAGTACAATCCTTCCACTGAGACTGGAAATTTTTTTTCTGGGACAGGGCCTTCAGGACAAGGTAGAAGACAGCCTGGAGTACTAGCCAATGCAAGAGTAGATTCTTACTTGGGTAGTGACCAACCTTTGAATAAACACAGCCTCCCAGCCTGCCTTCTTCAGCCTGGGCCCTTGTCTAAGCTGAAAGGAGACCCTGCTAGGTCTCTCAATGCCAGAATGGTTTTCTGGTGAGCAGCAGGATAGCCATATTAGAGGCTGTTTGGGGGCAGGGGAGGTCAGACAGGAACTGTGGTACCTGGGCCAAGATGTGGGTACCAATAGAACATTTCCTTTGGAGGCATCCAACCTGGCCGAAGTCTTTACCAAGGTGGCTCCATAAATAGCATCTGGCAGGCCAAGAGGGAGTGGTGAGGACAGAACTGGAGGGAGTCCCAGGACCCTGGGGTTGTGGGGAGCCTGGGCTTACTGCCCACCCCACCAAACACTGACCAGGTTCATTTGGTACCCATCTGGGGCCAAACTCTGGCTACTTCCCCAGGCCCCAGTGTTTGTACAGAGAGTGTGGTACAGGACAGGGTGGGGTCTCACAGCTACTGTTTACTTGCTAGTGTGACTGTGGCTGAAGGCTAAACTGTTTCTACTTTTCCATCCGCATACTAGAAGCAATAGCTATCTCCAAGTGGGCTTTATGGATTAGGTCATCCAGACTACTTGGTCACTCTGCAACTTCTCAAAGTGCCAGGGCAGGCCTGTGCCTAGCATCCCCCCTGAGGTGTTGGAACAGGATCCTGGGTTAGGGTACTCACTGCTTACCCCTCTGCCCCCCCCCCCAGTTCACAGATGATGCCTTCCTGGGTGTGACATCACTGAAGCATGTCCATCTGGAGAACAACCGCCTGAGTCAGCTGCCCTCCAGCTTCTCCTTTGATAACCTGGAAACCTTCACCTTCATCAACAACCCCTGGAAGTGTACCTGCCAGCTCCATGGCCTTCGGCGGTGAGACCAGCCCCATGCCACGCTCCCCCTAGAGCCCCTCCCCTCCCCAAGACATCCTAGGTACACATCCTAGATTTGTGCTACGTAATGGACCAGGAAGCCCCAGAAGCCTCAGTTTCCTCCTTTGTAAAATGAACATGGAAGCCTCAGACTGTTCTGGAGCCAAGTTTCTCCTAGCCCTATAAGTTCACTCTTCTCTCCCATAAGTACTCTCCTCCATCTCCCCTCCTTGGCAACTCTCTGTCTTTCCAGGTGGCTAGATTCCAAGAATATTCACTCGGATGCCACTTGCGACACACCCATCAAGTTTAAGGGGCAGCACATCCGTCACACGGATGCCTTCCGCAGTTGCAAATCTCCCACCAAGAGGTCCAAGAAAGCTGGCCGCCATTAAACAGGTGAGGGCCGGCCAGACCGGTCACCTTCCCCATCCTCCCCCTTTAGAGATTCTAATAAAATGCTGGTTATCTCCCAAGATAATATCTGTCCTGGGGCATGAACTCGGGGCCTGGCTGCTGTCCCCGGGCTTTTTTTGCTCAAGGCTAGCATTCTACCATTTGAGCCACAACACCACTTCTGGCTTTTTTGGGTAGTTTATTGGAGATAAGAGTCTCATGGACTGTCTTGCCTAGGTTGTCTTCAAACCATGATCCTCAAATCCCAGCCTTCTGAGAAGGATTACAGGCAGGACCTACCGGTGGCCAGAACATCCTCCATTTTTTATAGGAAGAGGTGGGGAGGGCAGCCCCCACCCCCTCCTTCAAGGACTGTATCTAGGACTTCCACTGCTCCCTCCAACATTGTCCTAGTGGTTGGAATCCTGACATCAATTTTTGCCTTCCCACACAGGTCCTGACCCAGCCAGTCCTGGTGACTGGCCTCTGCCTTCTGCTGGAGAGACTACTGACCTTCCCACTGCCGCCTACATGTTCTCCCCACAGCCTCTGCTGTCCACAGAGCTGTCCACAACTAGACACGTCCTGGCAGGGGGCCTCAGACACTCTACTACTAACCCAACTCCAACTAGTGGGGTCTAGGGGCCGACACAGCCCCTCCTCAGCCATCAAGACTGGATCCCATTGTGGCTCCTCTCAGAGAAGCTGTTGCTGATCCCCAACTCTATTAGAACCAGAATGCGGTGATTCTCAGAATTGCCACCTTCCCAGAATCAGCCTTACTTTGCTTCCTTTTCCCCTACCATTAGAAAACAAACATCAAACCCTTCCCACCCCCCCCCTTTTGCTTCCAGAAAGGGCCTCAAGTCCATTTCCCAACTCTGCTGGCCTCCACTTGCCAGGACATGCTAATTGCTAATAGGACACCGGTGCTTTGCTGCACATGCTGCATTTCCGCCCCAGATTTCTACAAATATAAATTTATGTGTGTAGAATATTTGCTCCTCCATCACCTGTCTCCACACCTCTCTAGGTACTGATGAGGCCAGTCTGTCTTGTCCCACCTCTTCCTGGAGGAAAGGGCTGCTCCTTTCTCCTTTGGACCCCTGGTGTGGTTTGTTTGTCCATATTCACTCCCCCCACGTTTCAGTTCTACCCATCACTCACCACCAGCTCCTTCATGTTCATCTTGTTGATGATGGCCCGGATCAACTCAGGGGGTGCAGGTGACCCAGCAATCACACCTGAATCAGAAAGAAAGGCTGCCAGGCACTGATGGCTCATACCTATCATCCTAGCTACTCAGGAGGCTGAGATCGAGGATAGAATTCAAAGCCAGTCAGCCTGAGTGAGATTCTTATCTTCAATTTACCAGCAAAAAGCCAGAAGTGGAGGTGTGGCTAAAGGGGTAGAGTGCCAGCCTTAAGCAAGAGAGCTAAGCAAGAGTGTAAGACCCTGAGTTCCAGTCCTAGTACTATTATGAGGGGGGAAAAAAAGGAAAAGACAGACAGACAAAAAGAACAAAAGAAAGAAAGACACATACACACAAACACACAGCTCTCCATTTCCAGGCCTGTTGGACTCCCTTCCTTCCCTTATTCCTAAGTTTGTTCCCCTACCTTTTAGCTGGCCTTGATCTGGTATCCAGGGACACTGGGGATTTTCTTCCCACCCCCATCTCTACGATGCCCTTCCTGCCCCTACATTAAAAATTGGCTAGGTTAAGCTGTTCCAGTCGGAAGCAGCCTCCTCCCGACACCTGGCTCTACCCCACCTCCACGCATGTTGGAGAAGTCATAACTGGAGAAGTCTGGCTGGTTCAGAATATCCACGAACATTGTAGGGGTGCCATACAGGAAGGAGCCTCTGCATAAAGAACAGTCTGAAAATTAGGCTTGGAAATGGAACAAACTCCCTCTCCGTACCCCTCCCACCCCCCACGCTGACCCTCTAGCAAGGGCCAAGGCCAAAAGCTCAAGGCAGGAAGAGGTCCTCTCTTGGGAATCCCCCACTCTCCCATCTGAGGTTTCCTGGCTGGAGGGCAGAAAAACCTCTTAGAAAGTGATCAGGGCCCAGGAGTGAGGACTAGGAGGGTCTCATCAGCCTATAGATGGCCTGTCCAGCAATGCCCACTTCTCTCTGTGGATGGTCTCCAGCGCCTTCTTGCCATTGAAGCTTGGAGAGGACAGGAAGAGCGTGGCACCATGCAGCACACACATCATTGTGCCCCCCACGGAGCCCAGGCAGTGGTACAAGGGGTTGGGCAGGACAAACCGCAACTCCTCTGTTGTCTAGAGATGGAGACAGAAGGCTCCAGGTCTATCATGGGGTCAATTCCTCCAGCCAGCAGAGGGAGCCCACAAACCATCCCATGGCTGTTCCAACAGCCTGGAAGCCTTTTTGTGTGTGAAGGGAGGATCACAGGCCTTACCTTCAAAGGCAGTCTCAGGCGATGGCCTATGAAGTTGGAGTTGTTCACGATGTTGTAGTGGGAGAGGGTAGCTCCCTTGGGGCTGCCTGTGGTCCCCTGAGAAGACAAGCAGATAACAGCTTGGCCGCCTTCTTCCCGTCTCCTTCCCACCTTTGACTGGCTACTGCCCAGAAGAACATAGGACTAAGAGTTCAGGGCCTAGGATTGTTGCTCCAGATGCATTCATTCTTTGTGTATGTGCAGAAGGTCTACAACGTGATGCATAGTGCCAGATGTTGGGATCCAGAAATTTGGAAGAGGTCTCTGTCTTTATGCCACTTAGGTGTCTTATAAGAACTCTGTTGCCCACTGACTTTAGGGCTTGGGCAAATTCCCTCTCTGGGCCTCTGAATCTCCCTCAGCTAAACAGAGACAGTCTTAGCTAGCTCTGACCCTTTGAGTCCTGGTGAGGTGGGTAAATGTGCATGCTACTGGGAGCAACAGAGCTGGGAAGCGAGTATGTGACAAGGATATCATTTGTGGATTTCCCAAAATGGACAAGAAGGCTGGAAGTCTGTGTCTGGAGAGAGTACCTGCTCTCCTAATTTCCTCTGCCTTCGCCCACCCCTGGGAAAGGGTCGGGGGACACAGTGTCAGGTGAGCTCAGGACCTGGAGACCTCCACCCTACCGAGGTGAACTGGACGTTGATGGGGTCAAAGCAGGACAGGAACTGCTGGGTGTACCGGAGGTGGGCCAGATGCTGCTCTGAGCTACCAGCTGCCATCACATCATCTAGCAATAGGGTCCCCGGCAAAGAGGCGTCCACCAAGATGACTGTGGTCAGATCTGGGAGCCTGGGGGACAGGGAAGGTGGTGACAAGCAGGGATGGAGGAAGGGCCCAGGGTGGCAAAAGCCCTACCCTTGGTGTTAGGGGGTGATGAATGGGCCAGGGATAATACATGGTGTTTCCCAAACCTGGGCAGGATACACCCACCTCTTACTCTTCAAGGCCCCCGGCTGAGCCTTTTCTAGTTCCGGACAGATCTGCTTCAGGATATTGTAGTATTGTTGGGTCTTGAATTCCTTGGGGAACACAAGGGCTTTGCAGCCCACCTGTAGAAGGGAAGCCCCCCAAACTGGTCGTCAACAGGAAGCCCCAGAGAGACACTCTGCAATGTGCCTACTCTTCCTTGAAAACAACTGAAAGCCCCCAGATCGAGGCACCAGCTGGTCCTACTTACCTTCTTGAGGACATACTCCAGTTCCAAGGCCTGGTAGGCGGGGTTCACAGACACCTGGGGGAACAGGCCTCACTAGTGTGTCAGTGTCCTGGGCCTACTCTCCCATTTGTTGCCCTCCCTCCATTCTCAGACGGTCCAAGGTAGCACCCTGCCCTGCCAGGCTTCTTCGTGGGCCTGAGCAGAAAGCATTACTGACTCTGAAGCCAGCCAGGCACTGACTGGTTGGATTATGGGGTTAAGGAGCCCAAAAGGCTCCCTCTGAATGACATTCTCCTGCCCCCTCCACTCACACACATATACCCCCATTGTGCCAGGCAAACTCCTCCTTACCAGGATGATGCCTGCCTGGGCAGTGGCCAGCTGCATTAGAATCCATGCATAGGAGTTGGGTCCCCACATGCCCAGCCGGTCACCCTTACGGAGACCAATGCTCAGGAGACCAGAAGCAGCCTTGTCTACCTGGTGGAAACAAGTGGGGACCAAGGAGTGAGATGGGGGCAAGCAGAAAGGGGCCATGACTCCTACCCCAGGCCTTCAGTCCAGAGAGTCACATCAGACTCGACAGAAGCAAGGGGCCAAGTAGATATCTAGGCCTTGGTGGACCTGCAGTCCAGCTGAGGAGTACACAGTTAAAACAAGTGCCCAGGAACATCTAGGCCACCCCTGCTTCATTCAACCACATCCTCTTCCACTGCCATCCCTTGGTGTCCACAGTCATGTACCCATTCTCTAGCTTCACCCAACCAAGGCAGACTAAGGACTACCAGCTGTCCACTCTGAAGATTCAAGGTCAGGACCCACCTCCTCCTTGAGCTGCGCATAAGTCAGCCTGATGTCTTCATGGACAATGACCAAGGCCTCTCGGTCAGGAAACTTTTGTGCTGTGGCATCCAGACACCCACCCACAGTCCGGTCGATAAGATGGAAGTTGGTTGAGCCCTGAACGTAGCTAAGGCCTCCAACAGGGAGGGGGGTAGTGCGCTCCATCTCGATGGAACTGTGGAAAGAAGGGCCATAGGCTGGACTTATGTCAGGCTGGGCCTCCTTTGCATAGTCAACTTATTACCAGGTTGTCTCCACATCTTCTTCTTCTTCTTTTTTTTTTTTCCTTCAGTTGTGGAGCTTTTTCAGAGGCTGGGTGCTGTCCCTGAGCTCCTTTTGCTCAAGGCTAGCACTCTACCACTTGAGCCACAGTGCCACTTATGGCACTGGAGATAAGAGTCTTACAGACTTTCCTGCCCAAGCTGGTTCTCACCCACAATCCTCAGATCTCAGCTTCCTGAGTAGCTAGAAGTACAGGCATGAGCCACTGGCATCCATCTCCCCATCTTCTTGTAAGCCTAGAACATCACCACTGTCTTATTTCCTAACTTCAAGTCTAACTCTGAGAAAGAAGAATAAGGGCAAAGAGGCCTACCCATTCCTTCCTGGCAAGGAAGAAGTGTTGACGGAAGCCTGGGAGAGTCCACTCACACAGAGACAGAGCTTACAAGACATCATCACAACCACTTACCCATCTGCCTACTGAGGGATGAAGAGGTCATGAGGGTCTCTCCCCGCCCCTTCCCAGCAACTGGTAAAACCTATACTTCCTCCTAGAGCTGAAATCCAAGGCCTTAGAGAATCTGGCTTCTTGGATCCTCAGTAGGCCGACCAGCTTCTGTCCTCTGGGCCTGAACTTCAAAGGCAGAATAGTAAGGAGATTGGGTAGCAGCTTTAGGAGAGGGGGCTAGAAGTGGCTCCTGTTACTTGACAGGCTAGCCATGGTGAAGTATCAGGTGCCAGCAAGACACTGGGTAACTGCAGATGAAGGGAGAACCCCTATGTTCCAAATAGCACTTGGGCTCAGGCTCTTACCCTCAGATGATGTTGCAAA